TCACAAGGCTGCCGAGGAGAGAAACTTGGCACCACTAGAACTCCTACATTCAGATCATTGTGAAATGAATTGGGTGTTGACGAAGGGTGGAAAACGATATTTCATGACGTTGATTGATGATGCTACTAGATTTTGCTATATGTACCTGTTGAAAATGAAAGACGAGGCTCTAGACTATTTTAAAATATATAAGGCAGAAGTTGAAAATCAACTTGACAGAAAGATAAAAAGGCTTAGGTCTGATCGTGGTGGAGAGTTTTTCTCAAACGAGTTTGACTTATTCTGTGAGGAACATGGCATCATACATGAGAGGACGCCTCCCTATTCTCCCGAGTCTAATGGGATTGCTGAAAGGAAGAACCGCACACTGACTGACTTGGTGAATGCCATGTTGGACACCGCGGGACTACCTAAGGCATGGTGGGGGGAGGCATTGTTGACCTCGAATCATGTGCTAAACAGAGTTCCTAACAGAAATAAGGACAAAACACCATATGAGATATGGATTGGAAAAAAAACCATCACTTTCTTACTTGCGCACATAGGGGTGCTTGACGAAAGTCAATGTACCAATAACGAAGAAGCGTAAACTTGGACCTAAAACTGTGGACTGTGTCTTTCTGAGATATGCTCATCACAGCATTGCCTATAGATTTTTAATATTTAAATCTGAGGTACCTGACATGCATGTTGGTACAATCATGGAGTCTCGTGATGCTACCTTCTTTGAGAGCTTTTTTCCAATGAAGGATACACATAGTAGTTCTAGCCAAACCTCTGAAATAATTCCTAATTCAATCACACCACCAGAACAAACTGAACATACACATGAACATGTCACTGAGGAGGATGACAGTGAAGCTCCTCGAAGGAGTAAAAGACAAAGGACGGCTAAGTCTTTTGGTGATGATTTCACTGTGTACCTCGTGGACGACACTCCTAAGTCAATTTCAGAAGCATATGCATCTCCTGATGTAGACTACTGGAAGGAGGCTGTCCGTAGTGAAATGGATTCCATTATCGCTAACGGAACTTAGGAGATGACAGAGCGACCCTATGGGTGTAAACCTGTGGGGTGCAAGTGGGTGTTCAAAAAGAAGCTGAGGCCTGATGGTACCATTGAAAAGTACAACGCTCGGCTTGTTGCTAAGGGCTATACTCAGAAAGAAGGCGAAGATTTCTTTGACACTTACTCACCTGTTGCCAGATTGACCACAATTCGTGTGTTACTTTCCCTAGCAGCCTCACATGGTCTTCTCGTTCATCAAATGGACGTTAAGACAGCTTTTCTTAATGGAGAGCTGGATGAGGAGATCTATATGGATCAGCCTGATGGGTTTGTAGTTGAAGGTCAAGAAGGCAAGATATGCAAATTGTTGAAGTCTTTGTATGGTCTGAAACAAGCTCCTAAGCAATGGCACGAGAAATTTGATAGAACATTGACATCTGCAGGCTTCGCAGTCAATGAAGCAGATAAATGTGTATACTATCGCCATGGTGGGGGTGAGGGAGTTATTCTGTGCTTGTATGTTGATGACATACTGATATTTGGGACAAACCTTGAGGTGATAAATGAGGTTAAATCATTCTTGTCTCAAAAATTTGATATGAAGGATTTGGGAGTAGCTGATGTTATCCTAAACATTAAGCTAATTAGAGGTGAGAATGGGATTACACTCTTGCAGTCCCATTATGTGGAGAAGATCTTGAATCGCTTTGGCTACTTTGATAGTAAGCCTTCTCCAACACCTTATGATCCTAGCTTGTTGCTTCGCAAGAACAAGAGAATTGCTAGGAATCAACTGGAATACTCCAAAATCATTGGCTCGCTGATGTACCTGGCTAGTGCAACTAGGCCTGATATCTCCTTTGCTGTGAGCAAGTTGAGCCGGTTTACCTCTAATCCGGGAGATGATCACTGGCGTGCGCTTGAGCGAGTAATGCACTATCTGAAAGGTACTATGGAATTGGGGCTTCACTATTCTGGGTATCCTGTGGTACTGGAAGGATATAGTGATTCTAACTGGATCTCTGATGTGGATGAGATCAAAGCCACTAGTGGATATATCTTCACACTAGGTGGTGGTGCTGTTTCGTGGAGGTCTTGCAAACAGACCATTTTGACGAGGTCAACCATGAAAGCAGAGTTGACGGCACTGGATACTGCTACTGTTGAGGCAGAATGGCTGCGTGATCTATTAATGGATCTCCCTATTGTTGAAAAACCGGTGCCGGCTATCTTTATGAACTATGACAATCAAACGGTAATTGTCAAAGTGAATAGTTCTAAGGATAATATGAAATCGTCTAGACATGTGAAAAGACGATTGAAGTCTATTAGGAAACTGAGAAACTCCGGAGTTATAACGTTGGATTACATCCAAACAGCTAGAAACCTGGCAGATCCCTTCACGAAGGGACTATCACAAAATGTGATAGACAATGCATCGAAGGAGATGGGTTTGAGACCTATGTGAGTTATACTATGGTGGTAACCCAGTCTATGTGATCGGAGATCCCGTGAATTAGAACCTGGGAAGAACAAACTATTAGTAAACTAGAGGAGAGTACCAATATATACCCTCTCTAAGTAAAGATGCATGTACTCTCGTGAGCTGCAAGGCAGGTTGGCTATGCCTTAATGAGTTCTGTTGGCTTTAATTAGCGAAGATGCTGTCCTGCAGAGCATTCTCGAAAGAACTCACCTTTGTGAGCTTGACTGTTGGTCGCAGTCTATGGAGATTTTGGGTGAATCTTTTAGGAAGCTTACTAAAGACCTAGGAGTATGACTTATACGCTCCACCCGAGGGGTAGTCTACAGACGGTCTAGTACCAGATAAGACTCTGAGTGAAACTTGCTTGCACAAGACTTGCAATTCAAGGCGTTGTCCATTGTTCAAGTTGTGAGTAAGTGTAGCTTGAAGTTCTAGGTGGATGTTCAATCTTAATCGGTCTCCATCGAACCGCTGGTATATAAACAATACATTGGAAAAGGCAAATCTCAGTGGGATTTTGAGATTTGGTGGGGGATTGTTGGAATTAATAGATGGGCTAAGGCCCATTCGAAGATTAATTCTTTGGAAAATCACAAAAGCCCACCTCATGGGAAGGCATGCATGTGGAGTTTAGTACCACCTTGCTTATTCTAGGAGAGGGGGACCTCCTTAAAAGGGAGGATGCCCTCCTAGCCACTTGAAGCATGTGTGGTAGAGAGAAGAGGGAGAACACACGCGCGCGCTCGCTCGCCTGGCCTGGCAGGGCAGGCGCGCGTGCACGACGTACGCGTCGAATGGTCCACAAAATTGGCTCCTCACCCTTGCACAGATGCAGCCTCCTTTTGCAGTTTTGTTTTGCTGCAGGAAAATTCGGATTTGTTTTGTTTTTGGAAACATTCCGAAAAATCCGGTGCGTGAAAACGGCGTGGAGTCCGGATAAGTTACACGCGACTTATCCGGTTCGGTTACGCGGATTGGAGATCGTGCGGGCGCTCTGATCAAGCGACCTATCTCTATATAAACCGAGCCGCCGCCTTCACGCAACACACACAAAATCAATCTAGGGTTTGCCTCCTCCTCTGTGCTGCGTCGTCGCTCGTAGACTACTCCATCCCGCTCGCCGGCGTGCACCTGTGATCGGGAGAGCAGGTCTCCGGAACCTCTGCCTTCGACGTCATGCACCAGGAGGAGGCGGCAATAAGGTTTTTGGGAAGCGCTTCGCGCGACTGCTCCCTGTTCGTCCGCACGGCTCACCTTCCTCTCCGCTCGCGTGCTGCGCACCTTCGTCGACGCCCGCAACCGCGAGTAGTTCCTGCCGAGCAACCGGTTTTTCCGCCACCTCGGTACGTGTTTGACATGTTGCGCATATTTGATCTGTTCATGTTTTACTGCTTAGATTACATGTGTAGATCTAATGATGCGTTCAATCTAGTTTACGTCTGCAATGTCATGATTTATTTATGGAATAAATTAAATCATTATGTGCTTATAATTTCAACAGTTACATGCGTGATCTTGCCGGATCAACGACTAACCGTGCCATCCCACGATCTGATCCCTGCTCGATCTCTTCTACTACCGAAACACAAAAAACGATAACTAATCCCTGCTCCAGCGCGATGTCATTGATGGCTTCCACCCGGTCCACCTCCACAGAGCGCTCGGCGACGCCGGACTCCGCCTCCTCGTCGCCGGCCACGCTCGTGGTCCGTCCGGTCCTCTCCATGTCTCGGCGTCGAAGTGGAGCTCTTGCACAGCGACGGAGAGGAGGCCACCGATGCACTGCACGAACCCGTCCTGGATGGCCGCCTCGTTCTCGATGAAGGAGAACGTCCCGCCGGTGACCTCGGCGATGGTGTGCATCGCCACCGCGTCGTGGTCCTTGCCGAAGCCGAACGTGTGGACCGGCGGGGAGCGGTCGCCACGGCCGCAGCCGTCAGTGCGCACGAAGGACGGCGGCACGAGCGCGTCGCAGTTGGCGTCGCGGCCGCCACCTCCTCCTACTCCGGCGCCACTGCGCAATTCGAACAGCGACGAATGGGAGCCGCCGCGCGTGCCGCTGCCTCTCCGTCACCTGGAGAGAGAGGAGAGGAGAGTGGGATGAAGAGAGGGGATATGGGGGAGAGAGGAGAAAGAAGAGGAGGGGTGAGGATGACATGTGGGGCCCACGTGGACCCCACCATTTTTAATTAATTTGTGTGTGAAACTAACACGTGGGTCCACGTAGGCGACACGTCAATGCCACGTCAGATGAAGACCGAGTTAAATCAGCCACGTAAGCGCCACGTCAGCCAAAAACACCCTCAAAACTGCCGAGGGACCTAATCTGCACCGGTTTTGATAGTTGAGGGACCCGTTGTATCTGGTTTTTCGGTTGAAGGACGAAAATCGGATTCGTTGACAAGTTAAGGGACCTAGGATGAACTTATTCCTTTCTGTTTCAACCATAGGCCCATTAGGCCCACGTACATCGGTGCATGGCTTTCCTCGTCAAAAGCCCACCAAACCACTCCTCTTCCCTCTCGCTCTCCATGCTTCTCCCTCGCGACCTCCTCCTCCTCCCATGGCGGCGCGCCACCGCCGCCGGTGAGGCCATCGCCCGCCGCCTCAACCACCACCGAGCCCCGCCCTTCTCCGATCCCGACGACGACCCGCCGTTCACGCGGCTCGCGGAGCGCCCGCCTCGAGCTCCCTCGAAGAAGAAGAAGAAGGAGGAGGAGGACCAGGGCGGCAGGATCAGGCCGCCGGAGCCGGCGAGCTCCGACCTGCCGTTCGACTTCCGGTACTCCTACTCGGAGACGGACCCGGCGTGGAGGCCCATCGGGTTCCGGGAGCCCACCCGGTTCTCGCCGTTCGGGCCCGGCCGGCTCGACCGGCCATGGGACGGCGTCGCCGCGGCGGCGGCGCGCGGGGAGGGTGCGGGTGCGGCGGCGACGAGCAGGGAGGAGGTTCTTGGCGAGCCGCTGGCGGAGGAGGAGGTGGCGCAGCTCGTGGAGAGGTACCGGCACAGCGACTGCTCCCGGCAGATCAATTTGGGTGAGTTCCAGAAATTGCATTCCTTTCTGATGCTTTTAGCTCGTAAAAGTATTGTTTACAAAATTTATTCGGATTTTCTTGATTGCTTGATTGATTGATTGATTGAGCACAAGCAGCTAGTATGTTCATGACGAATTGAGAAGTTCACACGAGAAGAGTGTGTTGGTTCTAGCGAGTTGGTTATGCAGTATAAAGTGCCCAATTTTTGTTTTTTAATTCACTAAAGTTTGATGCTTTATGAACCTCCTGAGTGCCGCTACTGAATTCCACCATTAATTGGGATATCATGTCAGCATGAAAGTATTAGAGTGAACTCCAAATTGTAGAATCTAAATCAACACTTAGCATCGATGGAGTGACACTATGGGTCTATGGCATCATGCAGAGCGTACAGGTTCCATTGTGACATTTCAATATTTCATTTATCCTGTTGCTCAAGAGCATTAAGTTGTGCTTTGGAAACATTTCCCAGTTATGCAATGGTGTTTCATGTTCTCAGGCAAAGGCGGAGTGACACACAATATGATTGATGACATCCACAATCACTGGAAACGTGCAGAAGCTGTTAGGATCAAATGCCTGGGAGTGCCAACTCTTGACATGGACAATATATGCTTCCATCTTGAGGTCACAGCAGTACTACTTACTTGGGGAAATACTGGAAACTACATTTTTACTTCCTATTTTGTTTGGTCTCATGTCAGTGCACTATTGTGCAGGATAAAACAGGTGGGAAAGTAATCTACCGTAACATAAACATCCTTATCCTATACCGTGGTCGGAATTATGATCCGAAACAGCGGCCTCAAATACCACTAATGTTGTGGAAGCCACTTGCTCCTATTTACCCTAGGCTTGTGCAAAATGTTGCTGATGGTTTGACTTTCGAGAAAACTAAAGAATTGAGGAATACGGGATTAAATTCTTCACCTCTTATGAAATTAAGTAAGTTGGAACCTTTCCAGCAAAACATTCGCCATACAATTGTATAACCACGATTTACCCATCCATCCCACTGTTGTGTTATCGAGTTCCTTTTTTGTAACTGATGATGTGAGCTTCTATGTTGTACAGCTAGGAATGGTGTTTATGTCAATGTTGTTGATAGAGTGAGAGAGGCCTTCAAGACTGTGGAAGTTGTGAGGTTAGATTGCTCTCATGTTGGTAGCAGTGATTGCAAGAAAATCGGTGTGAAGCTAAGGGTATGTTGATATGATCCCAGGCTTTTGCTGCTGCATATGTGTATAGTAATTTTTTACTTTCTGCTCCTTATTATACTATATGCATATTTTCCCCCATTTTTTAAACTCTTATTGCACCTAATAAAATTTCTGTTATATTCTCGAATTTACAAGTACAATTGTGCAAAGAGTTAAGAAAGAGATGCTCAGATGATTTTTTTTTTCTTGAAATGTTGCTTAGATGAATTGACTGTATTAGCTGTTTGCATATGTATGCTATTCAGGTGAGGTTGGTGAAGAAAAAGAGCGGCACCATATCTTTTTATAACCTTAGATAAATTTTATAGCTAAGTAACTGTAGTGTTCATTTCAACATAGATGCCAATTGCATTACCGTTTCTACAATTTGTTTGTTCATTCTCACCCATGTAGTTGAGAACCATATAACACAGAGTGGAAAGATCTTACTCCTTTTCTAATGCATTGATAGATACACTGGAGAATTTAGTATTTGGATGATAGAAAGCACGTATTATCTTCTCTCTTGCAAATCGCCCCAGCATGAATGACGGTTTTGGCCTTCTCTATCCATTTCACAGGATTTGGTTCCATGTGTTCCCCTATTATTTAAAGACGAACAGATTATTCTCTGGAGAGGAAAGGTGAAACAGGAGAACTCTGTTTCACTTCAATTCAGTCCTGAACCATCATGATATCAAGTGGCTTAAATACATGAGTTGCTAGAAGAACCCTGCTGCTTGGATTACTTCCATCAGTTCCATGGGATGTCATGTGATCAGAACAAATTGTTGAAAACCTATTACGGGGTTACCAGAAACATTAGAAACCGCGCCGGTTGATTATTACATTTCCTGCAGCTATCTGGAATTTGGAGTTGTCTGAAAGAGTTGCCAGTGTTGCATGAGATGAAGACCCTGCTCTATTTGAGTGCTGAGCATTGAACAGTACAGACGCACATTGAATCATTTTTTCACCTTGGAATGAGTACTGTGCTTCCAGCCAAGGGATTGATATCTTCCATCATCTGTTTCTTTGTTCAAATGGCACATGTTCCTGCTGCTTCTGCTATCCGGGCAGATATCAACCATCTAGATTAGGACATAGTATCAAAAGTTGAGAGGTACATCATGTTGTAACACTAGTGGTACAGACAGGCCTTTTGAATTAGAAGGCGATCATTCAGAGCCTCAAATGAGGTTGTGGGCTTTGTGGCTGCTATCCTGTTGATTCCTTGATGTGCACCAAAGTCAAAAGGTGCTCCCTCCGGTCAAAAAAATTTAACGTTGAGAATAAGATGTGATCAAATTCTAAAATTCTTGCCATCAATTTTATATTACTATAAGTTTATAAAACCTAATAAGTTTTTTATGTTACGATAGTATTTCTCAACTCTCAAGGCAAATCTACTTGTATCATCTATTTTGTTTTAAAGCTAATCATTTGAGAAAAAAAATTGATGATTGAATTTCAAAAGCTTGATCAAATCTTGTTGTAAGCGTTAAATATTTTTGACCGGAGGGAGTACTTTGCAGGGAGATTCGGTTCTGTTCTCATTGTTTGCTTGTTGGCTTATCAATCGCAACCTCAAAACGACTGTAATCTATTGGTAGTGTTTCAGGAGAGAATGACAAAAGGTGTGGTTTGTTTCAGACCACTTATCTGATCTGAGTGTGGCTGGCTCTGAACTTTCTGCCAAGATGACAAGAGAAAAGGAATATCCTTCCTCAAACATGCCACCAGAATAACATATACACCACAAGAAAATTATAGGCAGTGAAATTAAGACAAAAGGAAAAAAATCAAAAATCGAATTTCCATTATCACAAAATATTTCTCTTTGTTTTTGTCTTTACACCATAAGGTTTGTAGATGGTAACAGATTCCTCAAGAATAATGCTCATTTGAAATAACCTAAAAAAAAATAAAAATTTAGACCTTTTTCCTCCTCTGACTAAAATTTTCAAGTTTGAACAATGCCTCTGTCCCTCTACTAAGATCAGTTCTTGATAGTGTCTCTTAGTAGGAGTAGAACATTACTATTCTTCTGTAATCTGTATCATCTTAGTATAGTTTCTGTATGTACATACCATCAGTCAGAATCAATGCTCACTGTGTATCCAACGAAGTGTCACCGCCGGCGACGGCGGCGGTGTCGTCGTAGTCCTCCGTCCAGGCGGCGTCCGGCTCGTCCCACGAGCGCGGGCGGACGCCGGTGCGGAGGAAGACGACCATCTCCATCGCCTCGAACACGCGGTGCCTGTCCAGCGTCGCGTTCCACATTCCGCTGACGATGCAGTAGTTGTTGTCGTACGGCGCGCGGTGGTGCGCGCCGTGCTGGGCGCGCGACACGAGCACGCCGGCGCGCTGCATCGCCCCGACGCCGGGGGGCAGCCGTCGCGGGTTGCCGTGCGCCCACGCGTGGAACTGCTGGCTCAGCACCACGCACGCCGCGAACACGGCGGCGAAGGCGTGCGCGGACGCGGGCGCGCCCGCGGCGGCGAGGGCGGCGCCGGCGGGCGGGAGGGCGAGCGCGACGGCGCGCGCCAGGGCGTGCAGGTTGTTGCACGGCTCCCGCCGCGTGATGGTGGAGGGGTGGCGGTGGTGGCCCTGGAACGCGGCGATCTGGGGGCCGAGCACCGGGGTGTCGGCGTCGCCGTAGTTGTCGACGAGCCAGTGGTAGACGCCCGTGGCGAGGTCGGCGAGGGAGTAGGCGGCCAGCGCGGCGGCGAGCGGCGCGGCGAAGGCGGCCGCCGCGCCGTTGGCGTCGGCGTCGGCGGCAGCGAGGGTGGCGGAGGTGGAGAGGGAGGAGAGCACGGCGGCCGAGCCGGCAAGCGTCCACGCGCGGTGCGCCCACGTGGAGCGCAGCTCGTCCGGGCCGGCGCGTGACGGCGGCGGCGTGCTCAGCGCCGTCGACGTCGCCGGCGTCGTGGAGGCCGCGCGGCACGGCGGCGGGAGATGGCAGCGCGGCGTCATGGCGTACATGGCGAGCTCGATCGCTCTACGCTTTGCTTCCCGAGTTCTTGGCAATGTCTACACCAACACACACACTCTCTCTCTCTAGAATAGAATAGAATGGGTTTCTCTCTCTCTCTCTAGAAAGAGTGCAAATGTGTTGTTTGTGGTGTGATGAGGGAGTACGTGGGGGGGAGAGGGAAGGCATGAGAAGATGATCTTATAAGCATGATGGACATGGATGGAGCATATGGTTGTGGGGCATACTGATAGACCAGGATGTGTGATTTGTGTTGAATCAAGATGCGTGTGTTAAACCTTCTCCTTCTCCATCAATTTGGGAGCAGGTCTGTGTTCAAAACTGCACTTTTCTCACCTGCTACTCTCATTTTATATGCACATAATTACTGAACTTGTAATAACAAGAAAGGTTGCTTTAGAAACTTATATATTGATCTTTTAGCTACTCTTTTATTAATCATGCGTTAATGAGCTACCTCGTTTTTCGCAGGGGAAAGAGAAGCTCCCCACCCGTTGATCTGAACACACCCTTAAACCACGTTTTCAAATACCAGCTGTGTACCTAAGGCAACCATGTTAGGTACCCATTGAAATATTTCAGTCTTTTGCGTCAAAAAAAAAATATTTCTGTCTTAAATGGTTTTTAGAACCTTGTCCTAAGTGAATGTCCAGGAAAAAAACTCGTTTAGCTAGCTGACAACCTCGTATTTTTGCTTATACTTATGCTTATACTTATCAGCTAAAATTTAAGTTTTTAACCTTAAATTTGAAACTGATTTTGGGGTTTTTCATCGAAATTTATTTTTCAGCTTTTGCTTTTAAATCGCTAAGAATACATGTATAAAAGTTGTTTCAAATGAGCCGGCCAAGTCAGAGAATCAGTAGGGAAAAATATAAGAAATTATAGAAAAGCAATTTTGAAGAAAGCTTGATAAAAAGCCGACCAATCTTTTTTCCACCCACCATGTAAGAGAGCTTCCCAATGGATTTCAACCATCCAAAATTTCTCTAATTTTTCTTTGTTTCAAATGAGACTTTAGGGTGTGTTTGGATAATAGAAAATGGAGGTGAGATTGGGCTTGATAAATGAATGAAAGGTTAAGATTAAATAGAAGAGGGAGAATTAATGGTTAGAATTTAAAGATATTTTTTCGTGGATGAAAAATCATTTCTCTTTTCTATTAGGCAAACACTGTCTTAGTATATTTTTCGATGAAGTGCAGAAGAAGAAGCAAAATGTTGGCATTGGACTGTGCCACGTGGTGCCAAAAAAACAAGTCCACACAGCAACCATGTGGTCTCCGGAACGCACACGATTTGTTGGTTTTACTGTAGCCACGTAATGGAACGGAGGCATCAATTAGATCCTCCAGCTGCATGTTCATTCCCAGCCACAGAGGCCCACGGGCTTTGGACTCATGCGTGCACCTCATTTTAGAGCTTATGAATTCTAAAGAAAAATATTTAACAGTGCTACCTAAATACTAATAATATATTCCAGATAAAAACAAGCATGTATGTTCTTATATTGTCCTCAAACATATCCTTCAAGGCTTTTTTTTTTTTGGCTATAATGTAAGACATGTGATCATGTCCTTCAACTGAACTTCTTTAGCAGAATCATTCAATACTTAGCAAATTAAGCCATGAAGAAATCGACAACCTCGTCTCTTTCCGTTTATGTTTATACTTATAAACCATAAATTTGAATTTTTAACTGATTTTGGCGATGTGGAGTTGGTTTTAGGGTTTTTTCATCGCAGTTTATTTTCCAGCCTTTACTTTTAGATTGTTAAGAATACAAATGTAAAAGTTTTTTTTCACAAATTATTAACGATGGGGCCGCTAAGTGTTATATCCCAATAGAATTATGTGGTTGAAAGCATTCAGAAATTTTGATCTGTATAATATCAAGGGATCAAGAAAACTTGCAATATCTTTGTTGCTCAAGAAAAATTGCAACATATTTGTGACCTCCGTTCATTTGCCAGTAAGAAAGGTAGTAACAACCATTGAAACCTGGGACTTGGATGGTAGTTACCTTCCCACACCCAGAATGAAACATCGACAAATTCCCATTCAAGTTTTTATTTCAAGATTACACTCGACCACAGTTCATAGCCTCTGGAGTTCAGTTTGCACTAACAAGGAACAAGAAACGAGCAACATAGACCATTATTATTATGACCTCATATCAAAACCTAACCCCCCTATATCTACAAGATAAGTTGCACAAGCAAAATTGGCCTCAGTGCTTGCTACTGGTTTGGCAGAGACATTCTTCATCTGGATCCCTTCTTCATCCATGGCCCTGAACATTACCATCTTTTTGAACTCACTGCTTTGCCTGAAACAGAAATTAAAAAAGTAAGTAAAGAAAAGAAAACGTCAGCTACAACCAAAAAAAAATGTTTAGGATAAATATGGCATTGGAGGAATAAGTCAGGTGCAGCAGAAGCTTATGCAGTCGTATTTACTCCCTCATGTTTTCAGATTTCCTCTTTCAAGTGATATTACCTCCTATAGCAAAAGAATGAACTAAAATACTCTGCAGTCTAATTACAGTTGATAGTAACATATCATTTACCAATCCATCCTGCTTATAATTGAGCGGAAAGGATTTAAAATCAAGCATATTCACAAAGTAGCTGCCTGTTTTTCCACATCAATGTCAAACCACACGTGGACAATACTATATACAAAATGTCATCCTTCTCGTGCAGGGAAAAGAAAGTTTGTTTGAAGTATACACAGGGCAAGCACGGCTAAAGTAAAATATCAAAGCAAGAATTTACCTGAGAATACAGGAATGTGCCAAGGATGGCAATGGCAGCTCCTAGTGCATTGACAGGGCGGACAGGTGTGTGGAAGATAATGATTGACGAAACAATCACAGATATACGCTTCATCGTATTGCCAATGCTAAATGTCAATGGAGAAATCTCATCCAGAGACATGTAAGACACCTGGTTGTATAAGTGGTAGAAAACGCTCTGTGCAGCAACCCACCTACAATATTCAACATCCCCAAAATTTAAGTAATATCAATAAAATACTCAAGTGTTGCTGCATACGCTGTAGTATGTTGTAAATCATCAAATACAATATATCAATCCATGCCAGCAAAGACTGGGTAAATTCCAAAATATGTCCAGTACATAAAACACAATATATCAATACATGCCAGCAAAGACTGGCCAAAATCCCAAACTAAGTCCAGCACAAGAGTGAAACCAATGGTCTCTTAAAAGTGTGTTAAATATGTAAGCATATGAATGATATCTCCTAAGGTGAAAATAATGTTCATTCTGAGTTGTCCTATGTAACACAAGTACAAAACTACGGGCTACAAAATAGCAATTGCTGAAGAAAAATTAAAGGATGCTTGGTTTATTTTATTGCTTACCAGACAACATTGGGACCAACTTCCGCAAGAGCCTTTTGCCAACCAGCAGCCCACATTTGAGGGCCCTCCATAGCGATAGCGAATGGTGTGAGTATGACAAGGGACATTATCGACAGGCAGGCATAGTAATTCATGCCACTGACAGATTTCCCCTTCATGCCCCTCTTTGAGAAGATGTTGCGGAAAACAAATGCAAGGTTTGATATCATGGCACCCATGAATCCTGGTATGAGGAGAAACAACAACTGTTAACATCAAGAGAAAGAGAACAGGAGAAGACCTGCCTGAGCTAACCTGAGCAAGACCAGACCACTGGAAACAATTACAGAGCCTATGACTCCTATTTCGTTTTGTTCTTAAACATAAATCTACGCATGGAACTTCAGGAAGAAATGAGAAAAAAAGACTTAAGCATGTATCTTCTGGTATAAAGGAGAATATAATTGCACCTGTTTTCATAACAATTAAATTAGATAAGGTTAATAGGTTGTATCTATGATCTGTTACTGTTTATTATTTCCTGTAAATTCTAATCTCAAGAACATTGCAATTCCTGAAAAACAGACATCCAGATGGGGCAAAATAATCATCTAATAAGCCATTTTGTGTTAAAACATAGTATTAAAGTATTGATTACTAAAGCAACCACTTCAGTTGGCTCACGGCTACTCATCGTTTATACAAATTAGCATTGCGGCTATAATGGTTCATAAGCTCATAGCAGAATATGCATCGATTTCGAAATATATACTTACCAACCATGTTAAAGTTCAGCTCTGTGACAGCAGCAAGAGCACATCCACCAATGATTGGAAGAAGAGAAAGATATACAGGAACCGGAAACGTCTCCCCAAGAAGGAACCTTGATACCAAAACACTGAATGCAGGCTCTGCACTTTTGATAATGTGTGTGAATGACACTGCTACTTTTGACATACTCACTGTCGCAGCAACATGCCCAATTGTATGAGCCACAGCAACCTTCAAAAGGAAAATAGCCAAAATCAATCATGCTTGCCCAAGCAGGCACAGCAAATATACAAATAATTGCCAAGAAAAAGATTCCACTCACCGGGAAAAGAACTTTCCAGAAATCTAGGTCAGTCTTGGGGGCCTCAACAAGGCGAGTGGCCCATGAGACAAGCATCATCGCAGAGCCGCAGGCAAGGGAGAGCGTAGAAGTGAGCCAGGGGTATGGGAAAGCATTGAGAACCTTCTTGTTGTAGATGTTAAAGATCACATTAAGCGCCCACCATGTCGCGAAATAGATGGAGATCTTCAGCTTCTGGGCAGCTTCCGAGCGGACGGGCACCACCTCGGTCTTAGACTCCTTGTCATCGGCTGCGGAAGCAGCACACCTGAACTCAAGTGGCTGCCTCTGAGCCTTTTGCCCAGCAGCTCTTGGGCCATCTAGTGGTGCAAGGTAGAGTGGTCTGAGTGAAGAGACCACAAATTTGGATGGTTTGAGACTTGAGACAGATGAAACCGAAGCTGATCTGGACCGTAGATTGGTGCCAGCGAAGGCCACAGGGCCAGGAGAGAGCTTCACAGCAGGTAGCATGGCTTCTGCAAATCAAAGAACAAAATTGTACATGACAACAGGTAGGAAACAATTTAAAGCATCATCTGTCATCAAATAAAACAAAACAGGCCATTTCCTTTCAACAAAAACTTTCTTTGAGGACCTCAGTAGAGCAATTGATCTATCAGCACCAGAAAAGAAAGTGACATGGAACAACTTTCCTCAATGAGCTGGTTAAGTAAATTTTACACATCATTCTTTTGAGATGGCTCCCAAAAATATTTCTCTTGAACTGATCAAACCAATGAATGAATCGACCATGTATGTATGACCCAACAACCATCTTTTTTAGTTTTCCTCCCAAATTACTCAGCGGAAAGTACTAGTAGTACACAATACCTGCACGGCAGAACCGTCACCAAATAAATCCCCAAATCACAGAAACTACAAGCCTACAAAATCATAGATGGGGACAAATTATCACATCGTTTTCGCCGAGTGATCTACACGTAAAGATACCAAGCTTCTCCAACTCCCGTGATCTAGCCCGGCAGATTTCGCATGCAAATCACCCATCTTTACCACCACCCCCACCCAGATTGAATGAAGACTTCTTTCTTGGATCAAAATACCCAACAACAACAACACAAAAACAAAATGGATGCATGAATGAAGACGCCAGTCTCAAGCCTCGCGCCCTCGCGGCGAGGGGAGGAACAAACGTGGCGGCGGCGGCGGCATCGCCGCAGATTGAAAAGAGAAATTTAAAAATAAACTTAAAAAAAAAAACAACCTCAACTTTGTAGGATCAAGAGAAGAAAAGATCTCACCTTATCCACCCACCAATCACTCTGTAGCAAGTTCCTGTACCCTGAATCAAACCGGCGAACGGTTCTTCCTCTCCAAGAACACACACCCCTCAAACTCGCCGCGGAAACAACAACAGAAACGGATGAGGATTTCGAGATGCCGCCGAGAGATATACCGTATGGAGGAGGAGGAGGAGGCGGGGGATCGTAGGAGAGCCCCAAGCCCTCGGAATCTGATATGGGAATTCGGAGATCACAAGGGAAGGAGAGGGGAGTCTCCGCTCCGGCGAGTATAAAGGGGGAGAGGAGAAGGTGGCGGCTGGGCTGGTAGGTGAAAAAAAATGCGTTTTTTTTGTTTTTTGCGTATCTTTTCTTGGTGGCTTGTTGGTAAGGTTGGACAAGTGTGAGGGTTTTATTGCAAATGTTGTTCTTTTTAAGGAGACCATCCCTAGTATTTGTGTCATCGAGCACATGGATTTCTGATTTTTCCGGGTTTTTGGTTTGGGAGGAAATTGTTGTGTGTAGCAAAAACCAAAAAAAAAATAAAGTTTGATTTTGGTTTCCCTGTTGTCTAGATGATGAGATAATGTAGAAGGCAAAGTTTGTTGAAAATGTAAAGCAAAAGAAATTAGCACCGGCAAGGTAAACAAGAAAAAGGTTATAAAAGCGATTTGGAGGCGAGCATAACTTACGTTGCGTTCTATACTGCATTTTCCTAGTTTCTATTTGCTCTTTTTTTTTTCATGTGCATCTTGTCGTGCTTTTTTAAAAAAATTCTATATAAGTGTTGCTTTTAAAAAAGGTGATTAGTTATAGTTATAACATCATATTTTTCAAGAAGAGCGATATTTTTTATTACATTATAAATAAAAAGAGCGATATTTTTTATTACATTATAAAATACATATATTTATAGTGTAATTACACTTGTCGGTGATATGGGCCCGGGGTATCAGGTTTAGAGAGAGGAGGCTGCCCCCCGATGCCACGTGGCCCTCTCCCGAGGGGAGTCAGACCCGAGGTGGGGTGGCGGCCACTCCTTACCCAAAGACTAGTTGGAGGAGGTTGCCCTCCAATGCCACGTGACCCTCCCCCGAGGGGGGTCGGGCCCGAGGTAGGGCGGCGGCCACTCTCTGGCCGAGACTAGAGGGAGAAGGCCGCCCCAGGCGCCACGTGGCTCCCCCCCCGAGGGGGGATCGGGCCCGAGGTCGGGCGGCGGCCGCCCCCTCCCGTGACTAGGGGTCGGGCTCCCCCGACCCCCTCTCTAGGTCACCACGTACGGTGGATTAGGTGTCCGCCTCCAGGTGCCCACCTACCCGCATTTATGGCGTCCCGAGCGGTCGCGCCACGTCGCATTTAATGCGGCGTACAGTGCACTCAACCGGTCTGTGACCGGTCGAATGACCGATGGGACTGGCTAGTGCACCTGTGCGCTGCTCGTGTGCCAGGCGGCGTGCAGCCTGACATGTCCCATCAAATAGTGATGGTGAGATGTTCTCATCCTCTTATCCCAGCCGGAGTCGGTCCTCCCGCTCTGGTCAAAGCAAGGCTCCTGTTTCCCGGTGTAATAGGAGCCCAGAAGTCTTCACCCATTAAATGGTGACTGACAGGGGCACCCCCCGTGTCAGGCGGCAAGATTTGACAGGCCCCATCATCAAGACGACGTGTGCTTGGCTTCCCAAGTCAAGAGACAAGACATGCATTTAATGCAAAGATTATAATACTTCTCCACCGGAGTTAGGTTAGGTTGTTGGGCCCATGTGGTAACCCCTTGAGGTATAAAAGGAGGTCCAGGCCTAGTGGTAGAGGGGGGGACTTCCGAGCGAACTGGCGCTTGGGTCTCGCAACCCTAAGCACTGGTGTTCTACATTCAATTAATCATGCACAGGAGTAGGGTATTACGCTTCATAGCGGCCCGAACATGTATAAACCTCTTTGGTCTGATCGTCTTGGAGGGGCCTAACCCCCTCAAGACCACACAGTTTCGCTCACCAAATCCTTGAATCTCACCCGCTGCCCCCGGCCGAACTCACAAAGGGGGGCCTCACGGTTCCCTGGTAGAGGAGTTCATTCTCCGACAACACTTTAGTTATACGTACAACAAATCTTTTACTATATACTATGATGAGATAAGGGACTAAAATTAGTTACCTACTCCCTCCATAAAAAATTGTTTAGATTCTTTGTGAGCATATCTCAATTGGCTAGATTCTTTGTGGTGGAATTAGTACACCTAGGTTGAAGTCTTAGACTTGATACGGTGCTAACATTTATGGCTAATTATTTTTTAGTGGTAGAGCGAGACGTCTATGATGACTTTGTGAATCCTAATATATACTGATCTAGTCTTTCGGATGTGCTCGTATGAATAGTGTGTATTCATAGGGGAGTGAGTGTGAGTGTCTGTGTTTCTAAAAAAATATAGCAAAGAGAAAAACAGGAGATATAAACAAAGGTGTCCAGTGTAAGGCTTGGACACAGTCAGGATCCTGACTGTGATCTGCCACAAAATGTGGCAACAGGTTTTTAGCAGGTTCGTTAAAAAATCATATTAATCTATTTTTAAATAGCTATTAATATTTAATTAATTATATAATAATTCGTCGCTCCGTTTCACGTATTAGAGAAGGTTACTAGGCCCACAAACACACTCTAAGCTCGCCCATTGCCGGACGTCAGCCTCACCGTCTAATACTCTAATCTAACCGATTTGAAGTCAATGAATTGGACTAAAGCTGTGTTCTTCCCTCAGTTTTCCCAACTCACCTCTCTCATTTTCTACGCGCACATTTTTTAAACTGCTAAACGGTGTGTTTTTTGCAAAAAAAAAAATCTATACGAACGTTGTTTTAAAAAATCATATTAATTCACTTTTCAAAAAAAGAGTTTATACTTAATTAATCATTCAATAATATGTGCTTCATTCTGCATGCCGGGGAGCCCCCTCCTCCCGAACGCAGCCTAAGCAGCTTTCGATGCTGGGCAATGTCATCAGTCGTCACATGCTCGCTAGCGTTGTTGCCACTAAGATCTACCCTACCGCCGAGCCAAGTGCAGATCGAGCATCGCCGCCGCTACTCGTCGAAAAGACATACTCCCTCCGTCCCTAAATATTTGACGTCGTTGACTTTTTTAAACATGTTTGACCGTTCGTCTTATTCAAAAACTTTTGTGAAATATGTAAAACTATATGTATATATATATAAGTATATTTAATAATAAATTAAATGATAGCGAAAAATAATAATTACTTAGATTTTTTAATAAGAGAATGTTAAAAATGTTTAAAAAAATCAACGGCGTCAATGGAGGGAGTATTTAACTATTTGCTACCTTTTAACGTGACAATTAATAATTTATCGTCTGAACCTATATATGTCATAAGTATATAAGAATTTACATGCCATTGATATTTTTTTTATAATTACACCATACCATTCATATATTGGTGACAAATAATTAAACGATAAATTTAAAATAGTACTAAATAGTACCTACCGGAGGCGATTTGCCCTTAGAAATAGTGGGCCCATTGCGCCATGGGCATTGGGATTTGGGCGACACGAGGGCCTGTGGCCTGTCAGGTTGAGCAGGAACGCAGAGATATTTTTTTTTCCTTTGGTTTTGAGGTAGTTCATGTGAAATATGTTAAGATTTTAATACTTCGGCAACTTGGTAGTAGTAAAATCGAAAATACTGGGTTAGGTAGTATCACATTGGAATGAATTTATAAATCAGATAATTTTTTTAATAATAAATCAGATAATTGTAGATGGACATCGCCCTCTCCCTATCACCAATATTTTTTCTCTGATACAGGTTAAATTATATTGAATAAGTAAATAATTTGCAACCCTCCTATTATAATAACCTAAGATAAAGATCTATTAACACAGAACAAAGATGCTCCACATCTTGAATCGTCGCGAGAGATACACCATTATATTGGACGAAGTGACTTCCACCTCATTATGGCTTAAAAAGCGTGAATATTAGAAAACGACCTAATACCAAATAATTAGAAGGAGTGAGACTTTAAACCTAGATCGTCTAGCCCGCCACTTTGTGGAGCTAGCCGAAAGACCCCTGTCCGTTTCTCATCTAGCCCACCTCATTATGGCTTATGAATTGTCGCGGACACTAGTAGTGCGCAACAGCTTGAAATGCGGCACATTATACTCAATTGTTATAGGTGACAAGAAGGTATCAAAAGTTATTCAATCCTTCATAATATCGCCAAAGAGAGATGGGGAGCAAGGAGACATGTTGGTGATCATATCTTAGGCTGTGTTTAGTTACACGCCAAAATTAAAAGTTTGAAGAAATTAGAACAATATGGCGGAAAAGTTGGAAGTTTGTGTGTGTAGAAAAGTTCGATGTGACGGAAAAGTTGGAAGTAGAATCTAAACAGGGCCTTAGGATGTGCATGAACATGATGAGGGCAAGGAAGAAATAGGAAATGAGAGTTAGAGGACATGATGGTAAATATACCGCTGCCGCGTAACATGTGAACACAAATAACCACAATGGTTACATGCTGATTCCCTTCTCTTCTCCTATACACTACATGCTTGAGCACTCTCGTGTTGCGAGGATGAAAAGGTGGAAAATGAGAAATAAAATTTAGCAAGTAGACTCAGTAACACAAAGTAGACTGCCATATGTGACCTACACAGATTAAAACTATATGGTTGAGATTTAGATCAAAGTAACAGTTAAAGGGGCCAAGGGAATAAATGGTTTCACCATTTTTAAATTTTTTTACGAGAAACTTCACCGTTTAAATTAAATAGTAAATCACATAGAGTCTTTTAGGCCAACATATTCGTAGAGTTTCCTGATGATTTAACCTTGAAGGGTGATGCATCATATATTATTTTCCTAGACTGCTATATTTTTTAATATAAAACTACATTTAAAAAACCACTCAAAATCCAAATCTTCTGTAAATGGAAGTTGATTGCCATCTAGTATCCTACCAAAACTTAAAAAAACATGGATCTCCAAAAGTTTGAGCACCTCACAATTGAACATCTAAAATCATGCAAAAAGGCATCTATAGTCTCAAATACACAATATCATTTAGCATGATCTTTGTATAGTCCATAAATGTTTTAAATGCCTTTGTTTTTTCTTGAATCTTTACCTTTGCTTATCCATTTATTTTATCTAATCTTCTTGTCTCTGAATAAATTACAAAAGCACAAACTCCACTCAGTGCAGAAGCTTCTTGGTATGTTAGCATCAATTTTGCATCCACATTGTACCACAACAGCATCCCTAGGAGGACTCCAATATAATAGTGCAAG